CTATTTGGTGGTGGAATGCCTATCATATGAGGCATCATTTGAATTGGGGATTGCTGCATAAATTCGCGCTGTTGAACCCACTGTGTGGCAAGAGCACCCCAGTCAACTAGAAAAGAGAACAAATGAGCTTTTGAACCTGTCACACCTGTGTTTGTGCTTCATACCATTTTGATTTGGATTAGAGTTGTATGTATCTTTTAGAACTTGCCAGTTGTTGTACATTTTTCATATGTAAATCACGTAACTAAAGGGTCAAGAGATGAATAGTATCATTCACGATGTTTGATTTGTACACCTCAGGTCATATGTGCAATATTAACTAGATCTATTCTCATTTGTCACTGAGACAGAGTGAGCCCAGGTATGTGCACGTGAAGTTGGCTTTGCAGTTATAGTCGTATAATTAAGCACATTCACAGAAAGTCCACAATTCAAATATTTTTACATCTATAAAGTGCAGAATACTTTAAGGTAAGGTTCTTTGGCTTGCTGTACCACCCGGTAAGAAGGTTAAAATTTTTCTTGAAAAATCCTGAAGAACAACTTTTTTCTGGAAAACATGGGAAACTTAGCGCCGCCGCCGTTAAAGGCGGAAGAAAATTTTGCGAATCCACGCCGCCGCCACCAATCGATCAGAAGTTTTTATACACCGGCACCGACGTTTTGGACTGCTACTACCTCCGGAGACAAATAATCGACAACAAATAATGCAGCTATGGTTTACTTATATGAGAATTTCTGATTAAATAGTTTCACAGTAACCATTTAATCTTTCTGAAGGGAGAAATCCGACGTTGCCTTTTAACTGCTTTGAAAATATTTCTCGTCTAGCCTACGAAAACCGGAGTAGCAACGATACGTTTAAAGTTATCATTTAGCACTTTTACCACCTTCAGGTGACGCAGCGCTTTCACTATAATCCTAATATAAAACGACACATATTGTACTCTTCGCTGTTTGAGCTTTACTAGAATTCTATCAAGTAAATAGAAAATTGTGTGCACATGGATAAACAAACATTTTCTCTGTATTCATTTCAAACTTTTTTTGTCATGCGATGAACTTGTTAGTCACATCAAGTGCGACGTTCTTATAAGAAGGCATTAATTATTTTTTCTTCTCTAACCCCAATATTACTGCCACCTAGACTGTTTCTTACAGGGATCAGCATCCGATAACTTTTCTTTCGACAATCGCGACTGTCAACGTCTGTCAATCTGAAACTACGTTGACAGTCGCGATTGTCGGAAGAAAAGTTATGGGTGCTTACCTTTGGTCATTCATAGTCGTAAAACTGTTACAATCGCATTTGGAGGGAGAAAAAGAGCGATCTATCGTCTACTAAAATGTAAGTTCTACCAGTGTTGAAAAGTACTATGAAGGTACTTCTTTGTTTAGTGATGGATGGAAAGAGTGAAACGGTGGCGCAAATGCTGATATAGTCGGTATTAATATAATGATAATAATCAGACTACGATTTATATCTATCAGCAAGGGCTAACTGTTCTGTTCGTGGTCAGATTGAATAACAATTGTAAGGTAAAATATCGTGTTCTTCAACGACACCCTCCGTTTATTATGAGTTGGAGGAAACGTTTTTCAATCACTTTAACCGAAAAAAGCCGTATAAATCAAAAACAGGATTATTTGAGAAGTCAAATCTAAGATGAAGCAGTAAAACAAGTTACTGTTATCATATGTACAATTGAAAAAAATTGGTAAAAAGGATGTGGTTTTTACAAAAACTATCCTGTGTGCTAGTACTAAAAATTGAGCTTAACAAATTTCGACAAGAGAAATACGTGATTCGCACTCATTACTAATTACATATTTCATGAGTACTTCCCCTGGAATATTTCTATCCGTTTATAGACATTAATAGAGTTATGACATTCCACCAAATATTGCTAATAAGTTATTATTGGATGCTCACTTAGTTTGTAACAATCGATTGTTGTACAAATCTCATCGACTTTTTAATGAAATAGGAGATGAACTTACTGAAAATGTATCGTCTTTCTATCGTTCCATTTAAATAAAAGGTCGTCTATCTACATATAGTCTAATTTGGTATATTACTGACTGTTCTTCATTTTCTTTGAAAGAAACGTTCATAAAGGAGGAAAACATATGAGTTCTGTGTGAACAGTATGTCGATCTATCTATAGCATTGTCATTCCATTCCATTCAGTCATCTTCCTTCACCTTTTCTTCATATAAGTGACATATATAAGATAATATAAATAAAGAATTATTTATTACATTTCAGAATAAATCATTATCAATACAAATTTTATTGCAGCAAAATTTGGTGTCGATCAACATCAGATATCAAATAAAATAAGAGTGTATTCGACGATGTCAGCTACAAAGAATTAATAGCTGTTTCTTAAACTCTTTTGTCCTCAAAATCTGGGGAGAAAATTAAGTTTGATGTCTGATTTAAGTCTTAAAAGTTAAGACAATAGCTCAAGACCGTTCTCGACTTAAGTATGTATTAAGTTGAATGTTTAATTCAGTTAAATTTAACTTAACTTATGTTCGTGTAATAGACTAAAACACATCCTATTTTAAGTTAAACTTGAAAAACTTATTCATGAAGTCTGATGCTAACACGTTTTTTTTCTAGTAAACATTCTGTACTATGACAACCAAATTCGGATTTCCATTTGATTCCGATTCAACGGTCAATGTTCGTTATATTTGCCGGAGTTGTAACAATCTTCTGAACAAACCAAAACAAGTTTCTTGTGGCCACCGTTATTGCTCAGATTGTCTGGAAGAACTTACTAAGTACGTCACCACTGAATGAGTTTTCTTATATTTTCTGTCATTTTTATTTGATTAGAAACAAACCTGAAAATAATATCTGTCCAATTTCTGGATGCGGTCAATTGCTCAACTTAGATGATGTATGTTTATAAAAGTAAACAGTCAGTATGCAACATCTTCTTTTCACATCTGGTTTTATTTTCAGATATTTTATGATCGTGCAATTGAAAATGAAATGAAAAATATCGATATTGTTTGTTACAATAAGGTGAATGGTTGCTCATGGCGCGGAAAATTTTCGCAATACCAAGTATGTTTAGACTAGTCTCATTTTTAACTATCGCTCTTCAAATGATCGAATTATTTTACTTTATTAAGGAACATTTAAATATATGTGAATATATTGCCTTCATCTGTGATTCGTGCGGTATTACATTTACAGATAAAACAATGTTTGTACAACATCAACAAACATGTCTAAAAGCTATTATTTCATGTCCTCTTTGGAAATTCGGTTGTGACGCAAAAGTATGTCTGTCTTTCACATCGAAAGCTATTCCCACAATGCACCAGTAATCCAAGAGAGCATGTACATATAAGTCTTTGAGTTAACGACTAGTTTTAGTTGTGTTATCAAAAACTTATGAGAGAATGAATAATACTCCAATTTTCTCTTCTGTGATTCAAAATTTCTCATGTCAATCTCTAATTTCAATTCTGCTTTTATTTATTTCTCTAGATACTTCGTGAAACATTACAAGAACATATTGACGCATCTACGGTTGACCATTTACAAATGATTGCTGATCAATTGACATCATTGATAGACGCACAAAATAATTTTCGCTATCAACAACAACAACAACAACAACAAGATCCTGTTTTATCTCTTCCGTTCAATCAACAAGGACAACAAAAAAATTTAACATCAGCAACGTTAACAATGACACAAAATGCTTCCATATTAGCATTACAAAATGATTTGTTAAAACAGAAACAATTAATTGAACAATTACATAATGAAAATAAATCTTTGTCGTTAAAATTAAAACAACGGGATGATTTATTAAGTCAAACGCGTGTCGACTTGAAACTGAGTCAAGCGGATTTTTTGGATTTACGTAAAGAATTTGAATTATCAAAAACATTCATTCATGATAATGGAATATATCTGTGGAAAATAGAACGAATCAATCAAAAATTAAACGATGCTGTAAATGGTAAACAGATTTATATCAATTCTCCAGTATTTTATAGTTCAATAAATGGGTATAAATTATGCACGAAACTCTACTTGAATGGTGATCAAAGTGTTCGTAATACACATTTATCATTATATATTACAGTATGTCGAAATAAATATGATGATTTACTTGAATGGCCATTTAAATATCCGATTACATTTTGTTTATATGATCAAAGTCTCAAACGTGAGCATATATTAAATACATTAACGCCCGATTTACAAAGTGATTCATTTAAACAACCAGTTTTAGAATCGAATAAATCGGGCGGTATACCGAAATTTTGTCCACTTTTTAAAGTGTTTAGTAAAGACTATGGTTATGCAAAAAATGATACAATGTATATAAAAACTTTTATTGATTTTAAATCGTATCCACAAACTATTTGGCCAGAATGGGCAAAATTACAGATGAGTGGTTTTTCAGAATATGCTGAACACCAAAGATTAGCAGATTTTCTATCAAAAAGTCAGCAATAATTCTTTTGTACTTTGTGTATGTTGCTTGTATATCTGCTCTACTGTCTTACTTTCTTAACGCAACGCACATTTGAGCAAAAAATAAAAGTGTGCGTTAATAAAAAACAAACAATCAGAAATGATCTAAGCTCTCAGCTATGCGCTACAATTTTAGCTGATTTATACTTTTCTTTATTTATTTTGCTGTGTTTGTTTATTGGTTCTTTTCTTTTTTTTTCTCGTATGTTTTGTCTGTTGGCTCGAATTCTTTTGTCCCATAATTTTTTAAATATCGAAGATGAGAAAAACATCTTGGTTAAACAAACAATAACTGATCTCCAAATCTGTTTTATCCTTTCTTTGAAAGATGAGACTTATTCACTTTATTCATAAATAACTATCAATTTTTGGTGGGTCAATTAATGTTCAGTCACTGGTTTCGATGAAAGCAAAATCGAACAGATGTTCGACACACGGGGCATATCATATTTGGTCAAGACGTGTTCATAATACACTCGATGTGTTGTTCATTAGAGACGTGGAGGGTAGCTGTTTACGGAGCCCTTGCCCTACCCTGTAGCAATGAAGCCCTGACCCTACCCTACCCTGCAGGGTAGGGTAAGGGCTCCATGTACATCTCTATTGTTCATTGTTTCGTAAGTTCAGACACATTTAGATTTGGTTATAAATTCATAAAAATAGAGATTATTCGAATAATTTGTTAGCGGAAGGCAATCAAAAATGTTTAAAGTCTTTAAAAAACGTTGCTGATGTTATGATTTCTTCTGCTATAGCACTTCCGTTACGATTAGATGTTTGATGCTAACAGAATGTTTTTTAATCGATGCATTTAGCGAATAAATTCTCCTGCCATGTAATTCCTAAAGCTTTTCTCTATGGCAGTATCGAATTTAGAGTCAATGGACATTTGTCTAATGTGAGTTTAAAATTTGTCTTTTCCCAACGAAAAGTTTGACCAACTGTTTTTAATAAATTTTCACAGTTTGAGTCCTAGATCTCTCACAATCATGGATTGCCTATTAGACAAAAATTCTGAGATTTTGTAGTTGAAAAATCATCAGTATTCTTAAGCAGCTCTTAAACTTAGTGAACATTTAAGTCTCAATTTAACTTTAGGTGAGATATGATCTAACTATTGATTCCATAAAAATGTTAAGAATCTACTTAAGTTTTCGTTTTAAATCAAGTTTGTTTTAACTCCATGGAATATGAGCTTGAATCAAACATTGACTTAATGCATCTCCAGAATCGTCTTTAAGTTCATGCTCTAAAACGACCGTATTATGACCAGAGATGTCAGAGCATCGATACAGCCTATGTCCGCTAGATATTTAGTCCCTAGAGTAAGAATACAGACCATAAATACTATTCATGTAAGTTCTACAAATGTAACGGGTGACGCAGAATGAATGGCGGTCTCAGTATTTTCTATTTTTCTCGTGTTTCTTTAGGACCCTAAGGTTAGTGTTTTTTTTAAAAAACTGCGCCGCGAAATACTCTACAAAACCATACTTAAACTTTAATTTCAGAACTTCAATCAAGAAAGCTATTCAAATTATACGAAAGACGAAAAAACTGAAAACTTTCAAAAGTCAAAAACGATTTCTTGTGTTAACATTTTGAAAGTACGAAAACCTGAATCAGTCAGTCATTATGTAGCCTTGACTTCGTTCTATCTTCTAGCTACACTTCACATTTTTTCACATCAAAACCCATGGAAAAGTAATAATTTTTCTGTCGATTGTCACGCGTTTTTTCATTAATTTTTTAAATTTTGGCTATGGTGGCGCTTTCAGTAAAACTCCCGTAACGTCATCAAACCAAAAGCTTTTTCGATCGAATTTGTTTTAGTTTAATTAGAAATGATTGGTCTTCTCTGCCTAACTGCAAAATCAAAACTTCGATCATGTTTTCCGTTTCTTGCTTGGGCACATTGTTGAAAACACGGGCAGGGCTGTCAATTTTGACGTATTTTTATAACTTCGTTCTCCAGCACACCATCTGCTCTAAAAAGATTTTTTCCAGTCTAAGAGAAAACTGTTTTTTGTACTCAAAAGTACAAAAAGAACTGCTTTCTCACTTTTGCTACACTTTTTTACGGAAATAATAGCAGAAGAAAACAGTTCATGTCGAAAAAAATACCAAATTTAGAAGGTTTTCATTTTTTCGTCTTTCGTATACTTTGTAGTTTTCTTGATTGAAGTTCTGAAATTAAAGTTTAAGTATGGTTTTTTAGAGTATTTCGCGGCGCATTTTTTTAAAAAAAAACACTAACCTTAGGGTCCTAAAGAAACACGAGAAAAATAGAAAATACTGAGACCGCCATTCATTCTGCGCCACCCGTCACATACATACATTATGAAGCCAGGATCAACGCGAACTGATGGAGATAGTCTCTCCTTAGAGCTACTATTTGGAGCTAAAAGGAAACAACGATACAGAGCCTGTCTACATATTCATATATCTGTATGTTTACGAATGATTTGCACAAGTGGATATCAACCAAGCAGTCAGAAAAATTCATTCGATGGAGGCTGCGAGTTATATCCGAGCAATTCTGTGGGGTCGAAATTTCATTTCAAACGCTCGCAATTCATCGCATTACCGACGACTAGCAAGTGATTCGAGGCGTCGATGAGTATGTATTTTTGGTTATCGCAAGACTGGTTTGGCAGTGTTCGGACTAGGATCCTTAAGTTTATGTGGTGTATTTATAGAAGCCCAGACATCTATTACCATACTGCATGAATATGAATACAAAGTTTATACTCTTACAACGATCTACATGGTATATGATAAGTATATGTGTTCACATACCTGATTATGGAAATATGTAGGTAGATTTGAATATATATATATAGGAAGTATAAACTTTTTCAGATGAACCAAAAGTGGATACATTCAGCATCCATATTTTGACACCACTCGGATTGTGCAAAAAACTTGAAATCAAAACTCATCACATAAGTCCCTTCGAGATATGTTGTGCAGTAAA